GTGTGCCAGAGGCGTGAAGCTGCAGGAGGACAGTGTGAGAACTTCGTACCTGACTGGCCTCCCTCAGCGGGGGGTCAGAAGTCACGCCGCCTTGTTTTCCTCCATCTAACCACACACAGCGGCCCGGCCCATCAGCGCCGTCTCAGGCTCTCCTCACACGCCGAGAACAAACCTTCCTCAGGCCTCAAACCGCTCGACTCAACGAGAGGGAAGAAATCTGGCCAAGAATTTCTGGTTTCCAGCACAAAAACGTCAGAGAACATTAAACCATAAGTTCTAAGTAACGTCTGGGCATCATGAAGGAGCTTGTTTTAAGGGAATTCTTACTCAATATTGATTGATTGATTGATGTTTTTGCTTTTGGGAAAAATGTCTTGTTATAAGTGAACTTATCTACCAATTAATCAATATTAAAGAATTATTGATTTAAAACGCTCCTATATCTTGCTGAAGTTATTTTTTTTTCTAAAGTTCACTGAGAAATTTGAACTAGAAAATAAAGTGTTGAGTTTCTGCAGTGTGTTAAATTACTGTGGCTCATTATTTCAGCAGTGATTAAATGATTTAATTGACTCGTTGATGAAAATGACTCAGATTATCGCTTTGCTGCAGTTTGTCTCAGATTTTAAATGAATCGGTTCGTTTTCCGCCGCTGCAGCAGGAGTTTGGATGAACTTGTTGCTCTGCTGGATTCCAGCTGGTCAGGTGTGAAAGTCTGGCCGGGGTCGGCGGGGCGACCTGACCTCTGACCTCTCCATGGCGACGCCTGGGAAAAAACATCCAATAATAACAATCCCGTCTGCACACAAATAATCCAGAAAATCAGCTGAATCAATTCTTGGTCAGAAAGTGTTGAAACCTACTGAGCTACAAATGTGTTAAAAATGATTTAAATTAAAAATTTACTTTTTAATGTGATTTTTTTAGCAGAAAATAAATACGTGCAGGTCTGCAGGTTTTAGATGCTCGGTTGATTCAGACGTGTTGCATCTACTTTCTGCAGCACTGCAGATTTAAAAAGGCAAAAAGTATATATTATGATGTAAAACATGATCAATTAAACGGTACTGTAAATAAATACATTCAGAAAATCCAGAGATAACTGGAAAATCCTTGAAATAAATTAAATAAATTAAAGCTGAAAAAACTTAACATAGAGAAATATAAAAACAAAATCCATAAAAAGTAAAAAGCCTTTAAATAAATCAACAATACAATATCTTCTTTTACATTATTAATAAATTGAAATTAATTTGTCATGTCAAATTTAATAAAACTACCTCAGGATTAGATAAATGATTGAAAGTTTTTCCAAACATTTTATTCTAATAAATAAACAGATTTAGTTTTGTTTCTGGGTCGTCTCTCTGCTCCCGCTCCTCTAAAACCCAGCAGAGGTTCTGTCTGCCACCACAACCAGCCGCGGTCGGACCTTTAAAGGTCGACTTTTTTAGAGACACAGAGGACAATTCCTCACTTTCCCGGAACCTTCAGTCTGTTTGTTTGACCTTTTTGTAATTTGTAGTCGGAGCAGAAGTTCAGTTTTGAAGTCGGATGAATGTGGTCGTTCACTGCCGCCTCCCGGCTCGGAGCCGCTGCTTCCTGGGTTCTGTAATTACTGATGTGCAGCCGTTGAAATGCGCTCAGATTCCCGCTCCTGGTCTCTGCTGCGGATCGGAGCGTCCGGCTCCTTCTGGGAACGCCGAGCCAGCAGCATTTCTCTGAAGTCGGGACAGAAAAGTTAAACCTCTGATAACTGATTAGTTTCTTATCTCACTGAAAAAGCAACGCATTGGCTGGAGCAGTTCTTCCCCAGCTCAGTTTTTATTTACCTTAAAATTAAACTAATTAGAATCATGAACATTTGCTTTAAAAAACAAAACATGCTTTTTAAAGCAACAAAGTTTTAAAACAAGTTTTAAACAGTGTAAAAAAGTTTTTACAACAGGATGTTACTACTGGTGGAAACGACAGAGAAGAAGACGACAGGAAGTAACAGGATGATGATGCAGCATGTCTTTTAAATAACTTATCGCATGAAGAAACTAATTTACGCATGATTTTAATTGGGTCTTTTGTTTAATAGTGACACTGCAATTGTGAAAATGTGTTTTTTCAACATTAGCAGAATATAAACGAAGCTGCCGACAGGAGACGTTTCTGTCTGGGACGAGTTTCTGAGTTTCTGCTGCTGGATTAAACCAGAGCTGCATCATAAAAGTCCAGCTTCAGGCCTTGAACTCTGTTTGGTTCCCGGCCTCCATGCCGGCGGCCAGCTGAGGTCTTTGGGAGTCTGTCCAGCTCGAGGTCGTGAACCCGGTAGTTAAAGCTGACCTCTGACCTCACAGTGTCTGCTCCCAGAGGCGAGAGGTTCGCACCGCTTCACACCTGCCTCTGATGACCATCTGAAAAACGGAGCGAATAACAACAAACTCAGGCTGCATCCAGTCAGCTGCTGACTGGACGTTTGATCCCCGTTTCTGACAGAATGCAGGAAGTTTGTAGACCGATTAGTTTCATTTATGGAACGATGCTAATAACCAACAGCAGAATCTCTGACTGATCCATTCGGATCCTGTAAAGACTCGGTGTTATTTCCCAGGTTCTGTTTCCATGGGAGAGAATGAAAAGACGGTCTTATTGCTGATTGATATTTTAAAACAGCCTCTAATGGACATGAAAACAGGATTGGAGTTAGTGATGTTTGGTTTACTCACACCAGACTACTACTAACCACCATCCTGCTGCTCTCAATGAAATCACTGATGAATCACTCTGAATATTCTGCTTTTATCATTCGTCTTTTTGGCCGGTATCCTCCACTGTTGCCTTGACAACCACCTGTTTTATCCTAATCACACAAAAGGCTTTGAATTCAGAGTTTAGTAGAAATTTAAGCACCAGAAACTTGCAGCAGAAAAACACTAAACGTGTCGTTACTTAAAACTGGAGTGTGCAGGCAGGAGGAGCACGCGGTCGCCACGCCGACGGATGGCAAACCATGACAGCGAGGAGCAGCCGCAGGATGGAGCTGACAGCAAACGGAGGAGGATTTCTGACTGTGGGTGATAGTTTCTGTTTCATAAGCAGCCAAGGAGGGAAACGACAGTCATGCAGCTTCACCACAACAACCAAAGCGACACGGCAAGAATCAGCTCTCGTGTTTCAGGCCTCGATAAAATAGTTTTTATCAGCCTGAAGTTTACATGCTACGAAAAACAAGGCTGGAAATCAATTTAATGCCACGACATGCAGGAGCAGAGCTAAGCTGAATGTTTGGTCATCAGTTCTGAAAATAAAAGATTTAAACTCCTAGAAAACAGAAAGATAAATGCATCAAGCAGTTAGTTTTCACAGTAGAGCACAGAGTCATCTGCATACTGTGTAACATGAATCTCTTTCAAAGCAGAATAAACAGAATGGTCTTAAGATAGCTAATTTAACCTGAGGATGGCGAAGCTGGAGGATAATTCATGTCTACCAAAAACACTGAACCAAAGAGAAAGAAAACGCATCCGGTTTGTGAGACGGTTTCAGTTTCTGCTGCTGCGGTCGGAGCTCAGCAGTGAAGTGACGGAGGATGAAGGTGACGTCTGAGGAGGCGCCGTCTGCGGTGCGTCTGCATCATCACAGACCGAAGGCCGGGTTTTCCTGCAGCGCTGATCAGATCATCACCAACCCGGCTCGCTTAGCTCAGAACCGGGTTTACAGCAGCATGTGAAGATGTTGTATCTGAAACCTAAACATGCTGGAAACAGTCGAGTTGTGGCATCATTCAGGATCCATCGCCCAGACTGACAGAACATCGCAAACAGATCAGAACTGAAATGGGGAAGAGATGCAGCTGCAACGAGAAGTTTGGGTTTTATTACTACAAACATCCTGAAAGTAAAGAAAAACCGTCAAAGCTGTCCCTGATTGTTCCCTGGTTGTTCCCTGATTGCTCCCAGCTGTACCTGGTTGTTCCCTGATTGTTCCCTGATTGTTCCCTGATTGTTCCCTGGTTGTTCCCTGATTGTTCTCTGGTTGTTCCCTGATTGTTCCCTGATTGTTCCCTGGTTGTTCCCTGGTTGTTCCCAGCGGTTCCTGGTTGTTCCCTGGTTGTTCCCAGCGGTTCCTGGTTGTTCCCTGGTTGTTCCCAGCTGTTCCTGGTTGTTCCCTGATTGTTCCCTGGTTGTTCCCAGCTGTTCCCAGCTGTCCCTGATTGTTCCCTGGTTGTTCCCAGCGGTTCCTGGTTGTTCCCTGATTGTTCCCTGGTTGTTCCCAGCTGTTCCTGGTTGTTCCCTGATTTTTCCCTTGTTGTTTTCAGTTGATTTCAGCTGTCTCA